TCTAAATACATATCGTGCATCACTATCTTAAAGAAAAATTAACAATAAAATTAACCAAGGTGTATCAATGCTTTTAAAGACATAGATAGGTCTTCCCCTGGTAGATCTAATTGTTTTTAGCCTAATGTGTGGAAACATGCCTTAGCATTTGCACACAGCTGGGCTAATTGGAGGAGCTAAGTGGGTGGATTTTCTAGTAGTTGTAACTGCTTTATCCTGTATAGGAAACAAAACTTCACTGAAAGTTTATGTGAGCTTGGTGCTTGCTCCTACATCTGGAACTTAGAATGAACAAGGCACATGGAACTCAATCTGGTGAGTGTATGGTACTGAAGACATCTTGAGAGCATGGGTATCTTTCAGCAATTACAGTCTGTGAACACTGATTTTATATTGTTATGAACTATGAACTGGAAAAAGCATGGGAGGATGTTTCTTAAACATGTATATTAACTGTAGTCACTGCATAGTATTTTTCTGAGAATCAATTGCAATGATATATGCAAAATTACTTCTTTGTATAAAATATTATGTAAAGTTGGTAGATCTTTATATTTTCCTTAAATGTAAATTGAGTACCTACGGCACCAGACACTGTTCAAGGCTCCGGGTATAGTGCATTGCTGAATATGGACACACTCGCTACTTTCAAAGAGCTTCTGGTTGGAGGTGGATGGCAGACAGGGGACAGAAAATAAACATATAAACAACTAGATAAGATAATTTCAGACAGTTATAAGTGCTATGAATGACATTAAACAGGCTGATGAGCTAGAGATTGCAAGGGGGGCAGGGCTGATGATATTAGCGAGACAGGCATGGTATATTTGAAAAGCAACACTTGACATGACACTATGATGAGAGGGACATGTTATGCAAAGGACACTCAATACATGTTTGCTGAATGAATGCATTTGCTCACTTATTTTTTGGTTCATCTGTAAATTCATTTTATGCCACAAAGTCAAAAGTAAAATATTTTCAACAGCTTAAATCACTCTAAATCTATATACAAAGGATTTTCATGATCAAATCAAGTTATATGTTTGGACATCAGGCAGAATGAGAGCTCAATCTGTCAGCTTTTTAAATGAACTAGGCATTTTTAAAAAAGTAGAATTTCATCATAAATAGAGCACTTAAAATTAGCTACAGATGTAAGCGGTGTGGCTTCTACTTCTGGCCACTCTCCCCCAGTCTGATTGCTTCAGCCCCCTCCCTGTTCTCTTCCTTTCCAACACTATTTGTGTTATCATTCTCGCTGACCTCATCCATGTAACTCAGCCCTCCGTACTAACAAGCAAACAACTATACCTTTTCCTTATCTTTAAATTTGGACTAATAACTCCTTCCTAGGTGCTCAGAGCACCAATATAAGCATTTTTCATAATTTATGTGAAAATAGTATATTATCATAAGGCATTATTTTATCTTTCTCTAGGTTTATAGAAGATTTTAATGCAGGGTGCCATAATTTATTAAATGGGTATGTTGGCATTCTTCACTGTTTCCTTCATAGGAAAAAATGGCACTGCTGGTTAATTCAGTGAATACCTAACATTAAGTAAAAACTATTTGCTAGCATTCCTTTAAAATGTAGTTTGTGAGTGAGTACAAGTAATAATTCTCAGATTTTTTCTTCTCATCACTTTGGCTGGCTGCATCTTCCATGGAAGAGTTTTAGAAATTTTTGATGATTATCATCCACTTCATGAATATGAATTATTGGGGTTGAAAAGATCACAGAGCAAATAAAAACAAACAACTCCCACTCCCCAAAAAAGAAACTTGTTTTTGTAATACAAATTCTCTGATAGGAGGGAATAAGCTGATCAAAGAGTGCCCTGAAATGTTGTTCCATATGCAGCTTACATAACTTGATTTTAGAGATAAAGCATTCCACAAGTTGCATGATAAGAATCTTGGCTACCCTCAAAAGGCTTTGTAAAAGATGTTTTTGGCTTAGTGTTTAATACACTGTACAGCGTGTTTCAATCAGGTAACATGAAGTTACTTTGGGTAAAGTCTTTTTGGCAGAGCTAATGGCAACTTTGTTAGGCAAAACTAGGGAACTCCCCAACTCCATTCTCAATTATACCAGAAATCACTGTGCTTTTCCACCAAAAGCTGTTTTTAAGAACCGTTGCTGAAAGATTCTACCACAGATAGGGAATTCTTAGCCAAAATTAAGCTGCATGTCAAACATGAATATGGACTTTTTTTTTTTTTTTTTTAAACTAGGGACTTCTTCTTTCCTAAAAAATGAGACTGTACTCATTTCCATTCTTTCCAAGTGGGTGTTAATTTTGGACCTGTGAGCGTAAATTCAGGCCAATTCCTGGATGTGCTGTCTGTGAAGTACCTGTATGTCAACAGCCCTCTGGAATAGTGGTTCAGTTTCCCCAGAAGCAGCATTCTTTTAAAGGAGAAAATTTATGTTGATGATTTTCAAATTATTGGAACTCCTCAGGCAATTTTCCAGCTGGCAAACCCCTATACACTGACTTCAGAAGTGCCAGTTTTGGATTTTTGGCAGTTGCTAGCATGACCTGGTCAACTTCAAGAGGCAGCTCAGGGAGAGATTTCAGCATCTACATTTTAACACAATTACCAGTTTGCTTCTGGATGAAATCCAGCACTTTATTTTTAATATATGAGGCTCAATATCTCTTTAAAATCACTTTCTCTTTATGTTCTACTTGTAAGAAACTGAAGAGGCTCTAAGTTAGGAAAAATATAAAATGAAGTGTTCTTTGATTTATGAATTCTAAAAATTTCTCTGATTGTCTGACATGTTTGTTTATTCTTGGAAGTTTAAATGTTCTTTACTCAGGCTGTTAATTGTGGGCTTAGAATGTTAATATTCAATGTTTAGAATATTGAAGATGGGGATTATTATATATTATGTTTGTTTATTCTTGGAAGTTTAAGTGTTCTTTACTCAGGCTGTTAATTGTGGGCTTAGAATGTTAATATTCAATGTTTAGAATATTGAAGATGGGGATTATTATATATTATTTCCATATACTTATAGAAAATGTGGAATAAAGCTTAAATATCTACTAATTTTAAAAATGCTAATTCTTATTAAATATTTCCATTCATTGGGTGATCATTTTTGTATTCTTAGTGCAGTTAATTTATTTACAGACTCAGAGTAATAATAATGATTATCTTTAAACTCTTGAGCAGTCTATAAATACTATTACAAAGGAATGAGACTTAGTGTTCCTGAAAGAGAAGAATTGTGTTTTATTTTTTTTTTTAATTTTATAGCCCTGCATGGCACCACAGTTCCTAGCTTTGAAATACATACACACACACATACACCACACATACACACACATGACCAAATTTTTATAATGCATATCCAACCTCCGGGAACAGTAAATATTTATTATTAACAATGATAGAATGTAGGTGGGCTTGAAATACTCAAAATTGCTGGGGAATAGTTTACTGATGTCAAAGAAAAAGGAGACATAACCTATCCAAGACTTAGTTTTCATAGCTGCAAAATGAGATTAATAATATTCAACTTATATGATAATTATGAGTATTAATCAAGCACAGTGTCTAGTACTTAGTAAATATTTAACAAATGGTAACACCTGTGAGAACCAGTATGGGCTTTGTGGTCAAATTGTCCTGGGTTTGAATTCTGACTCTATCATTTACTAGCTGTATGACCATTCGGCAAATTAAAGAACTGGACCTCATTTTCCATCTAGTGTTAGATGAATAAATGAAGTAAAGTATATAAAGTGTGCAGCCCAGATGTCAATAAATGTTGCTTTTATGATTAATAAAACATCATCAGTTTGAGGATTCCCCAGTGGTAGGATTGGGTGGCACCAGCTGGTTCAGCACTTTTCAATTTGCCTCCCATGGTGCTTGATTATTGGATGGACACTCTCTCTGCTTTATTTGTTTATGGGCATGTAAAATACATTGCTTTTCCACATGAATTTTCATTTTGAGAAAGAGTTGTGTTGCTAAGAGAAGCTTGAAAAACATCCACTTGGTCCAACATCATTAATTTACAGATGCAGTAATTGAAGCTCAGGAAAGTTAATAACAAAGTAGTGAGAGGACTGGACTGCAGGTCAGCAGAACCCCAGCTCCACGTTACACAGCATTTCCACATATTTCCACTCTTTCTTTCCCAGTTGCACTTTAGTTTTCACTTTTGTTAAATGACTTCAGGAACTGAGACAACATTGGCAATTTTTTCTTGAACTATGCACTAATCAGGAAGAAGTTTCTCTAAAATTTCTTTTAAAGAATTACTAAAAAAGTAATGAGGGGAAAATAGCATTACTAGGTGTCTTAGTCTGGGTTCTTCAGAGAAACAGAACCAATTGGAGATGTATAGCTCACTCTATCTATCTACCATTTCATTTGTTATAAGGAATTGGCTCATGTTCTTATGAAGGCTAAGAAGTCTCGGAATCCACAGTCAGCAAGCTGGAATGTCAGGGGAGCTGATGGTATAGCTCCAGACCAAGTCTGGCGTTCTAAGAACGAAGAGAGTCTATGTGTAAGTTTCAGTTGGAGTTTGAGCCTGAAGGCAGAATAAGACTGAGGGCTAGTTTGAAGGCCACCAGGTAGAGAGAGTAAATATGCTTTTGCTCAGCATTTTATTTATTTAGGACTTCAGTGGATTGAATGAAGCCCACCCACATGGGGGAGGGTAATATTCTTTATACAGTCTCCTGGCTTAAATGTTAATCTCATCCAGAAACACCCTTATAGGTACACACAGAATAATGTTTAATATCTGGACACCCCATGGCCCAATGAAGGTGACACATAAAATTAATCATCAAACTAGGTAAAATATATATTCAAAGTTATATAATATATATATTATATATATATTTTTTTACCTAGTGTGATATTATATATATATTTTTACCTAGTGTGATATTATATATATTTTTTTACCTAGTGTGATATATATATATATATATATATTTTAAAGATTTTATTTATTTTACAGAGAGAGAGCTCGAGGCCATGTGTGGAAGCAGAGGGGGGCAGAGAAGGAGAGAGAGAGAGGGAGCTGAATCTTAAGCAGACTCTACGCTAAGCTTGGAGCTCCATGTGCAGCTAGATCCCACGACCCTGAGATCATGACCTGAGCAGAAACCAAGAGCTGGATGTCCTGAACCACCCAGGACCCCCTAGGTAAAATATATTTTTATCACTGATTCCAAGTATACATTTCTGAGATGTGCATATATTCTCAAATAACAATATTCACTCATTCTCAATAAAAGCACATTTTCCTTTATATATGAAAGTTTAGTTTTTCTTTTCTTTTTTTTTAAAGATTTTATTTATTTGACAGAGAGAGAGACCACACACGCAAGTGGGAGAGGGAGAAACAGGCTTCCCACTGAGCAGGGAGCCCAATGCAGGGCTTGATCCCAAGACCATGCACTGAAGGAAGACACTTAACAACTGAGCCACCCAGGCACCCCTAAAGTTTAGTTTTTCATAAACCTAAATTAAGTTCTCTACATAGTCTAATGTGTTTTTCCCCCCACAATATAGCACTTATATATCATTTTCTAAATCTTTTTGTTTTATGGTAATTGCTTAAGTAACTTTTCTAGTAACTTGGTCAGAGGGTGGACATTATTTTATTATGTATAGAATCATTTTTATTGTGATATTAGCTCATGGTATTTGATAATAATTCACCTAATTTTAAATATCTTTCCCTTAAGTCTTGAGTTTCCCTTAAATCTTCTTGGTATACACCAAATATTCTGGAGTAAAGAAATCAAGTAACCCATATGGGTTTATTTTGAGTCCAGAAGAAAAATAATACCATGACAATTTTAAGAAATAATGCCAAAGATTTTCTGTGGTCATTCATACATAACAAAACAGGAAGGTGTAAATTAATCAGATTATTTGTTTGCATTATCCAACTCCTTAAGATTATTATACTGTTCCTTGGCAGAGCAGTACTTTTCTTTCTCCACTCTGCAATTGATGAAATTGTATGAAATTTATAAAATTATAAAAACAATTAGAGGGATGCCTGGATGGCTCGGTCAGTTAAGTGTCTGCCTTTGACTCAGGTCATGATTTCAGGATCCTGGGATTGAGCCCCGTATTGGGCTACTCGCTACACAGGGAGTCAGCTTTTTCCTTTGCCTGGCACTCCCCCTGCTTGTGCTTACTCTCTGTCTCTCTCTGACAAATAAATAAATAAAATCTTAAAAAAAAATTTAGAAAATATGTCATTCAATTGTACATTGATGGTATTTGTTAGCATATTCCAACCCATAGTTGATATAGTCTGACACTGATTTATTAAGATGTATGTAAAATTTTCCAAAACATTGAAAAGCAGCACATTAATAGATGCATTTCTATCTTTAAAATATCAATTTTAGTAACTGTCTAAATATTGAAAGTTTTACTCAATTAAAACTCCACTGAAGCTATCCTATCTTTCTATTTGAGCAAATTATCATTAATTTCTACTTCACCAATTCAGCATTTTTGTTTCTTTGACTAGGACTTTGATGAAGTTCACAACAGTTTTGTGAATCACAAAAATCACATCCTGATAGAAACATGAAGCTAATTAATGGAACAAACTTAAAATAATTTAGAAGCACTTTTCTATATATAATTTTGCTTAGAACGGTCACCAATAGGCTATCTTCCTTCATTTCCTTAAGCCGTTAGCACTGCTGAACACTCTCTATTTCTTTTTCTTTTCTTTTATTATGTTAATCACCATACATTACATCATTAGTTTTAGAGGTAGTGTTCCATGATTCATTGTTTGTGCATAACACCCAGTGCTCCATGCAGTACATGCCCTCTTTAATACCATCACCAGGCTAACCCATCCTCCTACCCCCCTCCCCTCTAGAACCCTCAGTTTGTTTCTCAGAGAACACTCTCTATTTCTTAAACACTCACCTGTGTGGAGTCCATGGCACCTCATTCCCTGTGGCAACATTAAAACTCCACCCTCACCTCTCAACAGGAATATACACAACCATGTGAGACTGTCTTACCGTGTCTCATCTCCACCATTTCACTTCTTTGATTATGATTTTTGCACTTTGATCACGTAGTAGTTGACTTCTAAATTGATCTCAAAAGCTTTGTTATGAACTGCCCCAGATGCTATCTGGCAGCCTGGGCCCTTTCTACACTGTGGCTTCTAAGGGGCCAAGATAATATATTTCTTTTTGTTGTATTCCTTCTTTGGAGTGCTCTGCTCCTCCATTGGCTCTACTTCTGGTTCCATAACCTTGACTGATGCACTTCTTATTTATTTTCCTTTTTCATCGTATCACCGTGGCTCACAGTTTCGGTTGCTTCTTTACAGCTGAATCCCTATCAGCTTTGGTCTCTGCTGAGTTTTCAAGCCACATTTAAAACCACCTGCCTGACTTTTTGTGGGGGGTATTCCATTCTCACCTTAAATGAACAGGTTTCACCTATTTCCCATTCCTCATTGCTAATGACAACAGGATTTTCTTTGTAATCTCTCTAAAATGTCCTCTTGTTCCACATTAAAGCTGTTAGTAGATTGCTACTTTTATTGTTTCTCTTAGTTCTCAGTTCTTAACAGTCCTTGCTTATTTCACCTCAGCCACTGACTGTTAATTCTAATTCACCAGCAAACATGCCAACTCGAGTCTCTCTTTTCTAATTGCTTCCGCTTTTTGCTTTGTGCACTTTTGATTACCCTCCGCCAACCACAACCCAAAGCCGACTATCTACCTTTTTCTGACGAATCATCAGAAGTCAATAGTACCCTAAATCTACCTCATAATGTCTACGTCATTGCCCTCCCTTCACCTCTCTGGAAACATTTTATCATTCACATCATCACAAGAAGAGGGTGAGTACAGTAGAATAAGATATTTTGAGAGAGCCCACATTCACATAACTTTTATTATAGTATTTTTTATAATTGTTCCACTTTATTTCTATTATCATTAGTAAAATCTTACGTGCCTAATTTATAAATTAAACTTGATCATAGGTACAGATGTATAAGAAAAGCATAGTACATATGTGGTTCGGTACTATCTGTGGTTTCAGGCATCCACGGGGGTCTTGAACTGTATTCCTGCAGATAAAGAGGGGCCACAGACATACTTTGTTTTGTTAAACTTTGGTTTATTGTGCTTTGCAGATACTGCGTTTTTTCTTTTTTTTTAATTGAAGGTTTGCAGCGACCCTGTGTCAAGCGCATCTTTCAGGACCATTTTTCCTATGGCACTTGCCTGCTTTGTGTCTCTGTGTTATCTTTTGGTAATTCTTACAATATTTCAAACTTTTTCATTATTATTATTTGTAATAGTGGTCCTTGGCCAGTGATTATGATTCACTGAAGGCTCAGATGATGGTTAACATTTTTTTTTCAATGACGAAAGTTTTAACCAAGGTATGCACACTTTTTAAAGACATAATGCTATGGCACACTTAATAGATTACAGTATAGTGTAAACATAACTTTTATATGCACTGGGAAACCAAACAACTCACCTGACTTACTTTATTGTGTTAATCACTTTAATGTTTGGAACCGAACCTGTAATATCTCTGAGGTATGCCTGTCCTTTAGCTAGATTATTCCTCCTAAAACATTGCTGTTTACTTATCACTGTATGGATCAAAACCATCACTGACTATCTCTGCCTAATGGATTGGAGACCACAGTCCTATTCATCATTTAAAATCTCATATATCCTGGCCCCACCCCATCTTTTCCTACATACCACACACTACTCCCTCTTTCCAAACACAATAATTTATTTGTAATGTCCCAATATGCCTTACATATTTTCTTAACTTTTACACCCAGGATTTGTTTCACCTAGAATGATAACCTTCATCATCACCATTGATCTGAATTTTAGTCATTCTTTAGTCATTCTTTAGTTCAACTAAAGTTCCACCTCTTTCTTTTTGAACGTCTAAAGACCTTTTACTCATTTGGCAAAATTATCAATGCAAAATATTAATATACATGGCTTAGATGCATATAGTCTTTCTTTTCAAATATAATGTAAGTTTCTTGAGGGAAATGTCTTAGGAGTTTTGTATGTCCATTGTCTATATAAATTTGCATATAATTTAGGTTGATGTAGTAGATGACCTTGCTGTTGTATTTTAGTTTCATATCAGTTTCATATCTTATTTTAGATCTAGATTTTATCCTAAAAACCATTATTTTTCAAAATTTTAATTTCTCTTTTCTGAAATACTACACAATGGTTCAGAATTGGGTGCTGGAGTTTCCAGGTAGGGAAGTGTCAACTGGTGAAATACCTGCCCTTCCTCAATTTCTTATTTTTAAAAGTCTGTATCAGGAGGTTTTATTATATGGTTTTACCAGTGCAAAACTCTGTATTAGAAACGTGAAACTCAAAGTCACATGGATATTCAATACTGCTTATTTTAATGTTATCTTTATTAAACAGAATTGGTATTTTTAGAATGTTTTACTTAATATACAACATTATATTAAATAACTTGAGGGGACTTTGTTAATTGAGAGCTCAAGGAAGTCAGCTGTATTGTGTATGTAACAAAAAATGATGGTGTAATTTTTATTGCATTTTTAGAAGTATTTAGAACAATTTTGTCACGTTAAATGCTTTATCAGATTCAGATACGTTATTTTTAAGAACATTGGCAGAACGTAAGAGATTTAGAGGTTTGTACACAGTATTGTGAGGGGAGTCAAAACCATAACTTTGAGAAATGACTGAAAATACTGAGGTGTTATTTAGCTCAAAAAGAGAAATACTCATAGAAATATGACACATATTTTGAAAGGTAATCTTATGGATGAAATGTCAGCTTATTTCCTGTGATTTCCAAAGGTAGAACCAGAAACAGTGAGGTATAGAGGCATATTTTATCCCAGTATCAAAAATCACATTCCATTAAAGGGTCTGAAAAATGAAATAATATAATAGTATATAGGTACTTCCATATTGTAGAAATATTTAAAAAGAAATGATTATTTCTTTATCTTTATTCATGTTCCCTTTGCATACAAATTGTACTTCTTTGATGGCAATTATCAGTTTCTACCTTGCTTAATAGTGTAACCAAATACTAAAAGTTGTGTGTATGTGGGTGTGTGGGTGTGTGTGCAGTGTTGTCTTGGAACTCATTCTTTCTTAGAATTA